TGCCTTATTACACAATATCATATCTAAAAGAGCCCGAAATCTGAAGGTTATTAGAAGCTGAGAAAATTTAAATATTCGGTTTTGTGAGTATCTATGCAAGAAGAATGTTCCTGATGTTGGGGAAGTCCAGAATTAGGGGTCACGGTCTAAGAATAAGGGGTAAACCATTCAAGATTGAGATGAGGAAGAATTTTCTTCATTCAAAGAGTCATGAACCTGTGGAATTCTCTCCCACAGGAAGCTGTTGGGGCCAATTCATTAGATATATTCAAGAGGGAGCTGGATGTGGCTCGTGCAGCTAACGGGACTATGGAGAGAAAGTGGAAATGGAATACTGAAATTGCATGCTCAACCATGACCGTATTGAATGGTTGTGCAGGCTCGAAGGGCTGAATGGCCTACTCCTGCACCAATTTTCCATGTTTTTAAGACTTCACAGGAAAGAAACGTGGAAGAAATAGTTAAGTAGAACTTAAAGATTTCAGAGGGGTATTTCTCTGAACTCTGATCTCTATAAATTAATGGTATTGTGAAATAGGTTGAAAAGATTGATTTGCTGTGTGTTTACATTTTGTCTAAAATATGTGCTAAATCTAAATATCTTGGTTTGGTATTTTATTGTCTTTTCAGTAATAAATTTATGTTCTGTTTGAAAAACTGTGCAGCCTCATGTGGTTATGTTTCAGTGAATATCCATGTTAACTAAAAGTTTAAAAAATAGGTCTGTCAAGCTAGATTTCATCCTGGGATCTGAATTGTTCAGTAGTAACATCAACTAGGATCATAACACATGATATCTTGTCATTATTGTTAATACCTTTAGGTTATTGAAAACTAATAGTTCATTAAATTTTTATTAATTAATTAAGTATATTCCTAGTTTGATAACATTTTGACCCTTGGCTGCAATATCTAATCATCTCAATATCATTTTATCTGCTTTGAAATTCACCTTATCAAGCTTTCTGTGCCTTCAGTTATTCAATAATAAAACTCCTTTACTCTGTTTTTGTAAAGTTCATTGGTTTGTTCCCAAAATATGTAGTAAATAATGACATTAAATCATTTCATTAATAATATAACACAGAATTTGCATTCAGTTGTATGAAGGGCAAGTGCATGTTTTTTAGCTCAATCTGTGGTAGTGCAGATTCACAATCAAAAGGTTGTGGGATGTATGGTGAGATGGAGCTCCTTACAGTGACATGAACCAGAGACCAAGGCTACCCAATTGAATGTGTTGAATTAACTAGGTACACTCAAAGAGCAAGAGTTTCCACACTGTCCTAAATCAAACAACTCCAACAGCTTAATTTTTATCCAGTGTATCACTGTTTGTTGGATCTTAGAATCATAGAATCCCTACAGTGCAGATAGAGGCCATTCAGCCCATCAAGTCTGCACTGACCCTCTGAAGATTGCTGTGCAGTAAGTTTACCCAGCTGTATATGAAAGCAAGACAGACACCACTTTGATAAGTTTGAAGAGGTTTATTTAGCCAACCTCACAGAGGCGACAAATTGCAGACTGTAGATAATGCAAGTCAGTGTCTCATTTGAAAACTGCGGTCACAAATGGCAAGCAGGATTCTGTTTTTTGAAGTTGTTCAGAGGCTGTGGACAGCATGGCATACTCATTGCCCATTGAAAGTTGGTATTGGTGGGTCTATTTCTTGATTTTGTGGATTGTTAGGGCATTTTCCAAAGTCAAGGGACCAGAGATGCATATAAACCAACCCAGGAAAGGATGACTAGTTGCCTTTTCTGAAGCACAGCAGTGAATCTGCCAGTATTTTATAGAAATCCAATAATTTTATGATCCTCAAATACTTCCTTAGTTTCAGTTCCGAGATTACCTGGACATCAATTTCAATGGATAAACATGGATTAACATGTTTTCAGGTGAGTAATCTGAAACCCAAAATATTTTTTAAAAAAATTAATTTTCTTCTCACTGTGAAATCAAAAGTAAGTTTACTGATGGCGAACATTTATCTTCTGCCTAAACAAATTTTACTACAGCAAACCAACTGAAGAACCTAACCTGCATTGGATTGAAAGGGTGAACAGAGTATAGTGATACCAATACCTCTATTCAAATGGCATTGCAAGTTAATGAAAGTTACATATTATGGTAGACCTTCATTATCATGGAAAGGGCAGTAGTCTAGTTGTTGTTATATTTTCACACACTGTCCTTAGATAATAATCTGAGGGTTCACATTGATTACCTGTCCCACCAACTCTTTCCATCAAATGCTCCAAGAATTGAAATGTAATTCTAATGACTCTATTACAATAAGACAAGCAGGTATAGGGCTCCTGTGGTGCACTGGTAATCCACAGAATCCCTACAGGGTGGAAACAAGTCACCTAGCCCAAAGAGTCCACACCAACCCTTCAAAGACCCATCCCCCTGCAACCCCACATCTCCCACGACCAACTCACCTAACCTACATATCCCTGAATACTATGTGCCGCCCAGTGTCTCTACCCGTGAGCCAGGAGGTCTGGGTTCACGTCCCACCTGCTCGAGAGCTGTGTAAGCACATCTCTGAACAGGTTGATGAGGAAATTATTCAAAAGAAGCATGAGAAAATGACACACTTACCTCTGTGCATCATGCAATTTTGAATTGTCACAGTTTTAAGTCAGCCGCAGTTCAAGGGATAAAGGCTTCTGCCTTCTTACAGTCAAGCAGCCTTGCCAGCAATACCCAGAACATAAGAACTATTTGGGAAAACAAAAGTGCATATACTAGGGAGGAACAATATCCAGGAAAGGATTCCTAAAAAACAACAGTTGCAGCTTTAATGGAGTTTTTTGAGATAATATAAAAGCTAATTGTTCTCTGCCATTCTGCCCGAGTGCAGGATCTGGATAATAAGACGACATTGACCAAAATTGTTCACTGTGAAAACTATGTTTGCTGCATGTGTTCTCAGAAGATGTTGGCTGGTTTGTTACACAAAATTTAAGGTCAAGTACTTGGTAAATAAATGACATAGTAGCACCTTCATACTGAACATACTTTGTAAGTAACGCCTTGTAAATAAAGTACATCCCCAGCACCATGTAAAATGGTTAAGTTCAAAATGTGAAATCACCCATTTTGGCCACACAGTGAAAACCATTAAAAAATTTACTTTAACTTCAATTTCAGATTTGGCAGTTGTGTTTTTTTTCTTAAATGGGATGTGGGAAAAGCCAGCAATTTTTGCCCATCCCTAATTGCCCTGGAACTGAGCGGCCATTTCAGAGGACAGTTAAGAGTCAACACATTGTCTTAACTTCTCTGCCTATTTAGTCCTTGCATGTTCTTCACCAGATTGTGCCTTGTCTGCTGCTTGCTAAACTATAATTACTGTAAATACCCATAAAGAGTACCTATTTAAGATGTATCTTGCGCAGAAAATTGAACAATAATATAGAAACACAATTCAAGATACTATGATCCACAGATACATTCTACAGTGACAACCTGCAATGAATGGTGGTGATCATTGAGTTTGCAATGCAACTAATATGTGGTGAGAAGATTGTGGTAATCATGGGAAGGATTTAAAGGATGAAAAGGGATGTCCAACAGATGTTGTAAAGTGGGTTTGCAATGAGCCAGTGGTTACATACCATGTAAAATGGTAGATTATCCATTCACTATTTATGTAAACCAATTATAGCTGTCCTTCACACAAAAAACTTTATATCTAAACCCTAAACTGGACACTCATCCAAGTCATAATGGTCTTGCCTTGAGTGCAGAATCATAATGGGACTGGAGTGCTCCAGAGGCCTGGGCTAATGATGTGAATTCAAATCCCACCATGTCAACTAGTGAGTTACAGTTCAATTCATTAAATAAATCTGGAGCAGTAAGCTAGTTTTAGTGACAATAATCATAAATTACTGTAAAATCCCATCTGATTCACTGATTTCCTATTGGGAAGGAAGTCTATTGTCTTTGTCTGGATTTGATTTACATGTAACTCCCATACCACAATAATATTGTAGACTCTTGATTGCAGTGTAGTGGAAATGAATGTTTTCCCTGCATATTATGGCTTTAAGTTGGAAAGAAGGTTGACCAATTGAGTATTGGTGATATTTTCTAATACTGCTTCTATGAGTACAAATACGCAGATGTCAAAACAAATGCAGAAAATAAAGTTACTACGTGACTGCATCAGCTAATAAATGAGTTGGAGAGCACAGAAAAGGAGCTCCTGAAATCCAAAAAGCAGTCCCCAATAATTAAAAGCCCTTAACAAATTCTCAAGAAAGGCCCCAAGAAAAGATTATTTTGACTCCTGCCCAGCACCAAGGAAGATGGTTACAGTTGTCAAAGGCCAATTATCTCAGCTCCAGGACATCTCTGCAGGAGTTCCTCAGGCTAGTGTTCTCGGCCCAACCATCTTCAGCTGCTTCATCAATGACCCTCCCTCCATCATAAGGTCAGAAGGGGGATGTTTGCTTATGATTACACAGTGTTCAATTGCATTGACAACTCCTCAAATAATAAAGCACAGAATTGTTACAGTGCAGAATGAGACAACTTAGCCTATCATCTCCATGCTGGCTCCCAACTGGTCCCACTTCCCTACCGTTTCTTTTTCTCTTCTTCAGATGACTATCTGAAGCGGTCTGTGTTCCTGTTGGTGTAAAACTAGGACAATATTCACACTTGGGCTGATAAATAGTAAATGATATTTGCATCACTCAAACACTGAATAAGGACCATTTCCAACCATAGAGAAAATCTAACCATCATCACTTTCATTCCTGCAATGTGTCACACAATTATGTGATCTAAAAGTTCACCAAATCTTACCAGATCATAGGGCTGCGTTCTCATTGGAGAGAGATAACTGGTGGTAGTTTAAACTGAGGGTCACCACACCTCAGGCCAGTCCTTGACAATAACAGCCAGTGTGAGAATTGAACCACTGGCATCACAAACCAGCTGTCCAGCTAACTGAGTTAACTAACTCTCTATGGCCTGTTTCTGTGCTGGAAACTCAATGTAATCCTACTCTTCAGATAAAGGTTGGAAGAAGTAGTTCATTAAAAAAATTGTTATTGTCACATTATAAGGGGAACAGGGTGAAGTCCTGCTCTTAAAATGCAGACTTGCTAAAGGTGGAGATGAAGCTACAAAATCCTGATTTAGAATAGTGTGATCCTTGTGCAAACTTCAAGTTTAAAAAATTACAGTTTCTTAGCAACAAAATACCGAGGGGTCAGAGACCTTACTGTACTGATTGAAATCCTGGGTTATCAGTGGAATTGTATCAGATTGTATTCCGTAATCTTACGGTATCTGCAGTTACAAAAATCAACACACTCAAGTGTGCAAATATTGAAAGTAACTGTAACTTGGCTTGCATTTTTGTTATATAGCCAAATGACCTTACTGCCACGCATCCATGCCACAACTGCATACAAGTTGCAATTGAAGCCACAGCCTCAACGTATCACCATCACTTGCCCTCCCCAAACCTAGCACAGCCCATCCTGGATGAAAACGCAAATGCTAATTTGCTGCAGCCCAATGTAAATAGAATGAATTTTTTTGATTTTGCAAACCTGCTACTGATATGTACATTAGTGTCCTGCACAGTCAACCATGAATCCAGCACCATCTATGATTACAATTAGCTTCTTAATAAGGAAATATGTCACAATCTTTGGTTGCAAGTTAAATTGAAATCTGTTTCTTAGTCTCTGGCCCTCTAATGATCCACACAAATGCAATTGATCAACTCATCGTCGGCTTTGGACATTTGGATGTAACACTCCTGCCGGGAAAGACGTTGTTCTCTTGTAGCAAGAATCCATTCAAAAACCTTCTATGTATCCCCCAGCCCACAACAAAACTCTGGAATTCTGACAAGGCAGCAAAAAAATTGTGCTTTCCATAAGAAGAGTTCACTCAATAACAGATCTGTCTTGTTGACTTGTGAGCAGTGTGTGACTCTGATTGTTGAAAGTTATTTCGCTTTGCAGTGAGCCCACACCAGTGTTATCCTGGGACACGTTCGCCACTGATCCCATCTTCCTTGCCTACTCGCTCAGATTCGGGAATTACGCTGGATACTGCTGGCATTAGCCCGGTTGGGATTCCTCCACGCATTCTCCTGTAACAGAGCAAGAAAGAATAACACTGAGCTGTAAAACTTAAAGCATTAATCACTGAGGTGCATTTAATCTGAGATTCAAAAACAACCATTTGGATTAATGTGCACAAAAGTGCTACAAGGAGGTATTAGCCAAGAGAAAGGGAGAGTTCAAAGGAAATGATATGAGCACAGGTAAACAAAAACCTGGTCAAAATGTTTCGTTTCTAAAGAGCATCTTAAGAAAGAGATATAGAGGGGCAAAGAGGTTTAGGCAGAATATTTCAGAGCCTGGGGTCCACACAGCTGCCAAAGATGGAACGTAAGAGCTTGGGGATTTGCAAGAGGCAGGAGCTAGAGGAACATCTGCTTCAGTTATACAGGTTTACGTATGTGACCACATCACAAGCCAAACCAATGAAGTTATTTGAATATGAGGATGAAAATTTAAATGTGATGGGTTGCTTACACAGTAGCCAATGTAAGTCAACAAAGATTTGGAGAGGGGTGGGGGTAGGATTGGTTTTCAAGTGGGTGGAAGATGGTAGACCTTCCAAAGGAGCATTGGAATCGTCAAGGCCAGAGGCAGCAAATGCAGCAATGAGCTGGGGTCGAGATACAATGGAAATGATGATACTTTCCTTTGTGACTGAGGAGATGGGAGTTCAGAATCTCCATCCCCAGTCCAGGTTTTCAAACAGGCTGAGGCAGTGGCTGGGATTGGGCAGTGAAATCAATGGAGAGTTTGTGGTTGGGAATGAAGACAGTTGTTTCTTACACTTGAGACAATGGATTTGCAGGATCTTGCGATGACTATGGTGAGGAGGTGAGGGCAATGGGTAAGATATGACCTTTCCTTACCCTCTGTCCTTTCTCAGTGTGATGTTGGATACGTACGGGGCCAGTTGCTCGCTGGGGCTTTGCGCAGTACATCTCGAGCAACTTAAGATCACAGCTCTGGAAGCAGCACTCATCCACAATCCCTCTGTGTGGCCGCCTGACATTTGACCTGTAGCCTGTGGGTTTGTCTGTGTGAGCAAAAATACTTTCATTTAGTCCTACTCTCCGTATGATCCCCAGGCTGCTGAGACCCTAAAGAAGGTGCAAAACTGATTTACAACAGCAACATCAGAATAGAAAGCTCATATTTTACCAGGAAACTCACTCAAAAGGTTGGGGGAACTATTTAGGAAAATGGAATGCTCAGATTTTATTGCAACATTGTTTTTTGTTAAATTGAAAGTCATCTTTAACATAATGCAGCCTGTTCTCACTTGTGAGGAAGAACAATGCCAAAGGAAAATACGTAAGATCATCATCGATAAATCCAATAGGGATTCAGGAAAATCTTCTTTTCTTAGAGAACAGTGAGAAGATGGAACTTGCTCCCACAGGGAGTGGTTGAGGGGGGCAGTATGGACCCTCTGAGGGTGCATTTGGAGACAATATTTCCTTTTGTGAGTGACTATAAGACCGGGGGATCATAATTAAAAATAAGAGATTGCCTATTCAAAGTAGAGATGAGAAGACTTTTTTTTTCCTCACAGCGGGCCATGGGTCTTTGGAAATCTCTTCCTCAAAAGGTACTAGAAGCAGATCTTTGAATCAATTTAAGGCAGAGGTGAATAAATTCTTGGTAAGCAAGAGGGTGAAAGGTTATGGGGCAGGCAGGAATGTGGAGTAATCAGATCAGACATCTTGTTGAATGGCAGGTCAGGCTCAAGGGGCCGAATGGCCTACTCCTGCTCTTAACTTGTGTGTTCATAAATGTCGAAGGGAAAGCTGGATAAACACAGAGAGAAAGGAAGATAAAGTAGGTGGGAAGAGGCTGGTGTGGGGTTTAAACAAAAGCACAGATCAAAGGTGTCATGTGGCCTGTTTCTGTGGTATAGACCGAATGCAGTTCTATACTTGTATAAAATTATGTGTAATATTTATAATGCATATATTTTCACATTGAGGAAGGAAAGTTTCTCTAACCAGCTGACATTTGGAAACCCAGCAACCCTTATGATTTGATGCATCACTCGAGACCCTGGTCATAGCACACAGGCTGAGAACTTTGGGCTTGGATCCATGGGCTTGAAGTCTCAAGGAGAATGATCGATGCCAAAAAAAATACATTTGGCAGGAGAAATGCTGTGTTGTACAAAATCTAACGTTGGAAAGGAAACATGCTTTTGTCAACGTTTCAGATATGTTCGTTCATCCACTTCGAAAAGGGTTGGAGATATGGTGAATAACTGGTTTAACCATTCCCTGCCAGATCTGGCTGGACCACATACAACCCTATCAGGTCCTGTTCTCCTTTGCCAAAACCATGACTTGTCCAGAATCAACCTGGAATGTAAAGATATTCCCAACTTCCCTTCAACCCCAAACTGTCCTCTTAGAAACAGAAATTGCTGGAGAAACTCTGCAGGTCTGGCAGCATCTCTAGACAGAAAACAGAGTTAACATTTTGAATCCAGTGACCCTCCTTCAGAAATCTTCAATATTTTTCCCTGTTCCTTTCTAGCTCCAACAAAAAGGGTTATGAGCTTCTGCTCTTCTTCATCACAGAGATTAGAACTATCCACTAGCAGACCCTCCGTTTCCCTAGCCACTGGACCAGACTTGTTCCAAGGCTCCCTGTTGCCCTTGCCCTGAACTTGCATCTTTCTCTACTTTCTCTCCCATCTTCCCTAAAGGCCCCTTTGTATCCTGTCAAGTAGACCCACCTCCTGCTTCCTAGATGGTGTTGAATGTTGCTGGAGCTGCATTCATCCAGGCAAGTGGGGAGTATTCCATCACACTCCTAACTTGTGCCTTGTAGATGGTGAACAAGATTTGGGGAGTCAGGAAGTGGGTTATCTGCTGCAGAATTCATAACCTCTGACCTGGTTTCGCAGCCACAGTATCTATATGGCCAATGCAGTTGAGTTTCTAGTCAATGGTAACCCCAAGGATTTTCATTGTGGAGAATTACTCCACATTACATTGAATGTCAAGAGATGATGGTTTGATTCTCTCGTTGGAGATAGTCCTCAATTGGCACTTATGTTGTGTGCATACTATTGGCCCTTGTCAACTCATTGCTGGTTCTTGTCCAGGGCTTTCTGCATTTGGACACCGTCCCCTCAGTATCTGAGAGGTGGTGAATGGTACAAAAACAGAAGTTGCTGGAAACAGACCTGCTGAGCTTTTCCAGCAATTTCTGTTTTTGGTTCTGATTTACAGCATCTGCAGTTTAAGTGGTGAATGGTGCTGAACATTGTGCAATCTTCAGCGAATATCCTGACTTCTGACCTGATGAGGGAGGAAAGGTCATTGATGAAGCAGTTTGGTCAAATGTGATCTTGATGTCAAGTGCTGTCACTCTCACCTCCCCTCTGGAATTCAGCTCTTTTGTCCATGTTTGAACCAAGCCTGTAATGAGGTCAGGAGCTGAGTGGCCCTGCAGAACGCAAACTGGGCGTCACTGAGCAAGTTATTGCTGAGCAGTTTGATAGCGCTGTTACTGACACCTTCCATCACTTTACTGATGGTCAAGAGTAGACTGATGGGCCAGTAGTTGGCTGGGTTGGATTTGTCCAACGTTTTGTGTACAGGACATAGCCGGGCAATTTTCTACATTGTTAGGTAAATGTCAGTATTGTAAATGTACTGGAACAGCTTGACTAGGGGAACAGCAGGTTCTGGAGCACAAGCCTTCAGTACTATTGCCAGAAAGTTGTCAGGATCCATAGCCTTTGCAATATGCAGTGCCTCCAATCATTTCTTGATATCATGTGGACTAAAATAATGAGGGTGAAGACCAGCATCTGTGAGGCTGTGGGCGTGGGGAGATGGATGGAGTGGGCTGAATAGCCTACGTCATTGCTATAAGATGCAATGGTAAAGTGTGAATGATAAAAGTCCCAGGTCCACCTTGTTCACCTTCTCTGATCTTGGTTGAAAGTGATACAATGGAAATGAATCATTGACCAATCACAGTGATCAATTTCTATCAATGAGTTTACAGCAGATCCAGACATGAGTTGAGGAAACTCTCAGCTTTGAGAACCAGAATTCCAATGTTACCTGCTCCTTATCATCAGATCTTTCAACACAATCAGCATTCGTCATTCCTAAATTCGAAACTCCTGGTATTATTGTGAGGATCTCATACCAACGCAGCACGGTTCTGACATCAGTTACAGTCTGAACCATTTAATCACATTTTGACACAAGGGGTTGATTGATCCCAGTGTACAAATGTAGAAATAGGAGCAGGAGGAGATCATTTGGCCTGCTGGGTGTGATTCTGCCATTTGGTACGATTGTGTCTGATCTTGGGTTTCAACTCTACTTCCTGCCCTCTCCCCATATCCATCAGTTCCTGGAGGGGCCAGAAATCTACCTCATCCAGTATTTAAAATGGTAGAGCAGCATGAACCTCTGGGGTGTAGAATTCCAAACATGTCCAATCCTTTCAGTGATGTTAACAGGAAAAGACAGAACAGGTAAAGATAAAGCATTTCCACTGGTTAGGGATTCTAGAACTAGGGGCACTGTCTGAGAATTAGGGTCAGACCATTCAGGAGAGATTTTAGGAAGCAGTTCAACACACAAAGGGTGGGAGATGTTTGGAACTCTCTTCCACTAACAACAGTTGATGCTGGATCAGTTGTTAATTTTAAATCTGAGGTAGATAATAATTTGCTTAACAAAAGCTTAAGGGAAATGGGCCAAAGGCAGGTATATGGAGTTACGCCACAAATCAGCCACAATAAAGTCATAGAATCATGGAGATATACAGCATGGAAACAGATACCTTGATCCAAATCGTCCATGCCAATCAGATTTCCTATTTAAATCTGGTCCCATTTGCCAGCATTTGGCCCATATCCCTCTAAGCCCTTCCTATTCACGCACACACCCAGATGCCTTTTAAATGCTGTAATTGTACCAGCCTCCACCACTTCCTCTGGCACCTCATTCCATACACACATCACCCTCTGCGTGAAAAAGTTGCCCATTTTAAAATCTTTCCCCTGTCACCTTAAACCTATGTTCTCTAGTTTTGGACTTCCCCACCTCTGGGGAAAAGACCTTGTCTATTTACCCTATCCATGCCCCTCATGATTTTATAAACCTCTATAAGGTCACCCCTCAGCCCCTGATGCTCTGGGAAAACAGCCCCAGTCTGTTCAACCTCTCCCTATAGCTCACACCCTGGCAACATCCTTGTAAATCTTTTCTGAATCATTTCTAGATTTACAACTTCCTTCCTATAGGAGGTAGATCACAACTGCATGCAATACTCCAAAAGTGGCCAAACCAATGTCTTGTAGAGCCGCAATGTGACCTACCAACTCCGATACTCAATGCACTGACCAACAAAGGTAAGCAAACCAAACGCTTTCTTCACTATCCCATCTACCTGCAATTCCACTTTCAAGGAACTATGAACCTATGCTCCAAGGTCTCTTTGTTCAGCGGCACTCCCCAGGACTGTACCATTAAGTGTATAAGTCCTGTCCTGATTTGCATTTCCACAACGCAGCACCTTATTTTTGTCTAAATTAAACCCCATCTGCCACTCCTTGGCCCATTGGCCCATCTGATCAAGATCCCATTGTACTCTGAGGTAACTTTCTTCACCGTCCACTACACCTCCAATTTTAGTGTCATCTGCAAACTTACTAACCATACCTCCTATGTTCACATCCAAATCACTTGTTTAAATGATAAAAAGTAGTGAACCCAGCACTGATCCTTGTGGTACATCGCTGGTCACAGGCCTCCACTCTGAAAAGCAACTCTCCACCACCGCCTTCTGTCTTCTACTTTTGAACCAGTTCTGTATCCAAATGGCTAGTTCTCCCCATATTCCGTGTGATCTAATCTTACTAACCAGTCTTCCATGCGGAATCTTGTCAAATGCCTTGCTGAAGTCCATACAGACAAAGCCCACTGCTCTTCCTTCATTAATTTTCTTCATCACTTCTTCAAAAAGCTCAATCAAGTTAGTGAGATTTCCCACGCACAAAGCCATGCTGACTATCCTTAATCAGTCCTTGCCTTTCCAAATACATGTAAATCTTGTTCCTCAGGATACCCTCCAACAACTTGCCCACCACGAATGTGAGGCTCACCAGTCTATAGTTCCCTAGCTTTTCCGTACCATCTTTCTTAAATAGTGGCACCACGTTTGCCAACCTTCAGTTTTTTGGCATCTCACCTGTGGCTATCAATGATACAAATATCTCAGCAAGTGGCCCAGCAAGCACTTCCCGAGCTTCCCACAGGGTTCTAGGGTACACCTGATTAGGTCCCCGGGATCTATGCACCTTTATGATCTCATTGAAAGTTGAATGGTCTACTCTGATTCCTATGTTCCAAAGTAATTTCTCCTCATCTCAGTCCTAACGAGACTGTGCCACGTGCTTTTATAAACACAGGAACAGGAGGAAGCCATTCAGTCCCTTTGAGCCTGTTCTATTATTGTAGATCATGGTTTATCAGTAACCTCAACACACTACCCCTGTATCCCTTAATGGCATGAGTAACTCAAAATCCATTGATTCCTGTCTTGAACTTGCTCAATGATTGAGCTTCCATAGACAGTCCCAATAATCCACTGGTTTCTGATTGAAGAAATTCCTCTTCACCTCAGTCCTTTATCCTGAGGCTGTTTCCCTGGTTGTAGATCCCAACATAGAGTCATACAGCACAGAAACAGACCTTTCGGTCCAACCAGTCCATGCCAAACATAATCCCAAACTAATCAAGTTCCACCTGCTTGCTCCTGGCCCATATCCCTCCCCTTCCCTATTCATGTACTCATCCAAATGTCTTTTAAACATTGTAACTGTACCCACATCCACCATTTCCTCAGGAAGTTCAAATCACACACGAACCACCCTCTGTGTAAAATAATTGCCCCTCATGTCTTTTTTAAATCTCTCTCTTCTCACTTTAACAGAGGAAACATCCTTTCAGCATCTACGCTGCCCATCCTTTTAAAATTATAGCAACTTCAATGAAACCACCTCTCATTCTTCGAAAATCGAAGGGAATACAGGCTCAGTCTCCTCACACTCTCCTCAGTGGACTATCCCAATCTTTCTTCCTAGGATTTTGTCTGGTAAGCCTGTCTTTCTCTCCTTGGTGAGTGTATCCTACCTCAGTTAAGGGGATCTGAGCTTCACACAGTACTCCAGGTGTGGTCTCACCGAGTCTCTATACAGGATCGAAGCAAGACATTGTTGGATTCTCAGAGCATCGGAAACAATCTCTTAATATCCACCCGCTCAATCCCTTCAGAATCTGATACATCAAAGAGAAGATGGCTGTAAACCTACTGAAATAGAAGCCTCGGTCGCCACACACAAACTGGAGAGCATCCACCAGTTCTGCCCCACACAGTGTCTCTGGGCTAGCATTCACCCCGCTCAGCGTCAGCACACACAGCGTCAGGTAGAAGAGGTGAGGGTAGGAGATGAGACAAATCCTGACAACCTGTGGAAGGAATGAAAGATAACTGCTATTGAAATCTGGGCCAATATGTCATTCATGCTTTCTTAATGCAGCGTTTAGTTTCTCTCCACACACTATCAGCCCTGATGAGGAGTTAGCTATGGCTCAACGGATAGCACTGTGCCAGAGCCTTTTAGGTTCACGTCTCACTCCAGAGACTCGAGCATGTAGGCTGATGCTATCTATTCTTGGCAACCTCACCAATGCTGTGGATTCCCAGCAGGTTAGGATTTCACACCAAAGGCTTTAAAACTGGTGTATGAGATTCCTGGATGAAGTCAATCATATTGCCTTCAGCCACTTAACCCGCACGCATTATGAACACTGGTTTCTCTCGTCCCTTCACATTCATCAACCTGTTTAACAGAGACGTCAGCATTAAAGACAAACAACGCAAAGTCCATCTGCCATGTATCCCGATTTGGATACGTTCACCTCCCTAGGAATAGGAACGTACAGGGAGAAAGCTGTACGCAAAATTAAAGAGCTTAACACTTCACCAAGGGGCTCACCTCACAGAATCACAGAATTGTTAGAGCACAGCAGGAGGCCATTCAGCCCATCATGGCTGTACCAGCTCTATTACCTAGTGCTAATCTCCTGCTTTGTCTCCCCCATACCCTTGCATATTATTTCTATCCAAATAATCATCCAATGCACTTTTAAATGTCTCAGCTGAACCACATTTCCAGGCAGTGCATTCCATACCCTAAACGTTCAATGAATGAACTATTTTTGTCATGTCACCCTTGCCTCATTTTAGCATCACTTTAAATCCATTTGTTGAAGTTTAGAAAACTCTTACGCAGTTTTGTTGTGTGACATTTACCTCAGTAAAGCCCGTTAGTAGCCCAGAGTTTGCTGCAACAGGTAATTGAAAGGCAGCAGCCTGCATGTCGAGGCTTTGGCGTGTTTGTGTGACATATCACTGGATGTGTGAGGTGTTAGTATCATAGCACGGGAAAACCAGAACCCAAGTGAAGGGAATAACCAACAAAAGGTGTCTCCTTCACCAATCAAACTGCTTGGAATTAAACCGGATAAGGCTTGAGATGGAAGTGTAAATTAAATCTAGTGAATTGCAGTTGAATTAGGTACAGAAGGTGAATTAGGGAAAGCTTGGATTAAGAGAAGGGAGAAAAGATGAGACAGAACTGAAGAAAAATTTAAAAATCAAACTGTTAAAATTTCTGACAGCAATAAATTTGCTGGTGTGAAACTCGAGATTTGTGTTTATTAATTTTCAGTGCCAAAGATGGCAATCATAAGTAATTAACAGTTGTCACATTGTTAAGAGGCTACCTAAACAAGGGTCAGTTAGCTCAGTTAACTGAATGGCTGGTTTGTAATGTGCAGGCATACCAACAGCATCAGCTGAACTCCCGCACCAACTACGGTCACCATGAAGGACCCTCCTTCTCAACTTCTCCCCTCACCTGAGGTGTGGTGACCCTCATGTTAAACCATTACCAGTCATCTCTCTCTCCCTATCTAATGAGGGAGCAGCACAACGATGAGCCTACCTTGACCCTACTTAAACTAGCACTGACAGGACCTAACTTTCTGTCCAGTTAAGGTGGTATCTGCTGCACAAAAACACAAACTTCACACAGTTCAATGAATTTCAATGGTGAAACAGACAGTAAAATGTCACTTTCATGAAACTGGAAGCAGATAGCACAATTTAGACAGCAGTATGTGGAATTCCTGTTTAGTCCACATAGCATTTCCCAAAAGTGCCAATGCATATTACTAACCCCAAATTCTGCCATATTAAATAGATTTCAAGATAGCTGTCAGAAAATTGTTTTAAGGTGCGAACGTTGTTTCAAATTGCAATAATTACTCTTGGTTTGTGGGTGTTTCTTGAGGTATAAACTAATGGCCCCCGTAAACCTACCTGTAGTATAATGAGCGAGCATTAGCTCCGACTATAGTCTCTGCACCAGCTGAGATTCCTAAATGCAAACAATTGATTAAATGCTACCTCCAATCATCGAGTCCCTGGAATTTAAAGGTTAATTTGTCCAACATTCTCCCCTTAGGAAGGTCTGATGTTTACACACACACTAGGATCTGTCTCAGCTTCAGCAGCGCAGCGGGAGTTCCAGTACAGACCAAAGATGAGAGACACGAAAAAAAAATCACCTGAAAGATGTGTGCGAGGCGACAGCTGGATGCCGGAGCTGGTTTCTGAGTCTCCTCCATCACTTGTGCCTCTGCTGAGCTTCCCGTTCTGTGCCTTCACTAGCCCCAGCCCGACAAAGGCAGATACAAAGTGGAGCCCAGTTTAGTTCCGGAGTCTGAGTTTACATTGCCGGCTGTTTCACACTCAGAGCTGGGAGAATGCTGATCGATTGCGCAGTTTTTTTTAATCTGCTCCCATTTCAAGGACAGAGGAGTTTCATTTAAAGAGATTCCCCTCGATCTGACTCTCTCTCTCACGCACACACCAAACACACAGCGTCAGCTTTCCCTTCCCAAACACCACGTTGCAATCAAACACTTGAAACAAGTGAGTTTGCGAGTTCGCTTTGTCCACAGCGAATTAAACCTTGTGCCCAGTTCCATTCATGTTGTGAATTTAACCCTCTCTCTACGCACTTTCACATAAAAATACCAGAAGCCACTCGCAAACTCAGCACAGTTCAAAATCACAACTACCTTCTGGATTTTGTGAGTTTATTAAAATGCATTTAAAATTGGGTCCAAGGTAAACTTTTTTTATATCACGGATCGGCTCCATTTTTAAAAACAAAAATATATAAACACCACAAATTTCCACCTCAATGCAACTTTCTTAGAAATGTGCGCACGCGGTTAGATTTCCCGAATTGGGGAATTTTGCGAGGAGAGTGAGGTGGGAAACACTGGTCTCTTGACTGCAGACTGTGCAAGAACCGAATGCTCAGGTTTGGAGTTTGAGAGGGACTGGGGTGGGGTTTAAAAATAAACAAGTACTACTTAATCCCGACTGGGCAGTTTGTAGGGGACTGCGTGCCCTCCCCACAGGGTAGTTACAACCTGTTTTGGAGCCAGTTCAGGTCCCTGATCCAGAGATATGTCAGAATAGGTTAACTCAAAAATATCTCCAATCTGTGGCCCAAACTGTTTGCAGCAAAATCTGGGATCTGCACAATTTTTTTCTGCTGGCACCTAACTGCTTTCCTGAGGTAACCATTTGATCATTTTATTCTATTCCCCCAAG